GTGTTATATATCTCATACATATTATTTACAATTATTTATATAAATTATCATACATTTTTATTCCTCTGCTCTAACCTATATGCGGGTCAAGAAGCAACAGTGAGAACTGGACACCGAACTACTGATTGCTTCAAAATTGGGAAAGGAGTCCGGCAAGGCTGTATTCTGTCGCCCTGCCTATTTAACTTATATGCAGAGCACATCATGAGAAAGGCAGGGCTAGATGAATCAAAAGTTGGAATTAAGATTGCTGGGAGAAATATCAACAGCCTAAGATATGCAGATGATACCAATCTAATGGCAGAAAGTGAAGAGGAGCTAAATACCCTCTTGATGCGGGTGAAGAAGGAGAGTGCAAAAGTTGGCTTGAAACTCAACATTAAGAAAACCAAGATCATGGCATCCGGTCCTCTCAATTCTTGGCAAATAGATGAGGAAGAAATGGAGGTAGTGACAGATTTTATCTTCTTGGGCTCCAAGATCATCACAGATGGGGACTGCAGCCAAAAAATTAAAAGATGCTTGATCCTGGGGAGGAAAGCTATGGCAAATCTAGACAGCATATTAAAAAGCAGAGACATCAACAAAAGTACGTATAGTCCAGGCCATAGTTTTCCCTGTTGCAATATATGGCTGTGAAAATTGGACCATAAGAAAGGCTGAGTGCAAAAGAATTGAGGCCTTTGAACTATGGTGCTGGAGAAGACTCCTGCGAGTCCCCTGGACTGCAAGGCGATCAAACCAGTCAGTCCTAAAGGAGATCAACCCTGACGGCTGTTTAGAAGGCCAGATCCTGAAGTTGAAACTCAAGTACTTTGGCCACCTAATGAGAAGGAAGGACTCACTGGAGAAGGGCTTAATGCTGGGAAAGATTGAGGGCAGTAGAAGAAGGGGATGACAGAGAATGAGGTGGCTGGATGGAGTCACTGAAGCAGTAGGCATGAGCTTAAATGGACTCCAGAAGATGGTAGAGGACAATTAGGCCTGGAGGAATGTTGTCCATGGGGTCGCAATGGGTCGGACACAACTTGCAACTAACAACAACAATATTCAGATAGCAACAAAGATCAGAAAGGAAGGAGAAAGATGGGTGAGATTGAGGATGTAAAAGGAAAAAAAATCAGTGACATGACCTTTTTCATTGCAATAAAGTACAAAATAAAGTTACAGCCTCAAATTTTGCTTTACAATTTTTCTAGATAAAAGTCATTTCAATAACAACAAAGTTAATTGTTATAGTCTGAAATCAAAGTTTCATTTTTGTGTGTCTGTTTTGAGGACAAAGTCCCACTTACGTATGAGCCAACAGTGAACTGCAGCTGCCAAGAAATGTAGTCCTAGGTTGCATTAACAGGGATAGTATCAGGATCAGGTAAAGTTTACTACAGCTTTATACTGTTTTTTAAAACAACCCTTGGAATACTGTATTCAGTTTTGGTTACTGCGATACAGAAAAATGTTGAGACTCTAGAAACAATGCAGAGAAAAGCAACAACAAATAGGGGACTGGAGACCAAAATGTTTGACAGTTACAAGAACTGGGTACATCTAGTTTAACAAAAAGAATTAAGTGTGACATGGTAGCAGTCTTCCAATATTTGAGAGGCTGTCACAGAGAAGAGGAGCAGCCTATCTCCCAAAGCATCTGAGGACAAGACAGATGGAAATTTATCAGGGAGAGAAACAACCTAAAAGTAAGGAGAAATTAACAAAAGTAACCAGCGGAATGGCTTGCCTCTAGAAGTAGAGGTTTTTAAGAAGACATTGACAGTCATTTGTCTGGAATGATATGTCATCTTCTGCTTGAGTAAGGCATTGGACTAGAAGAACTGCAAGGTTCCTTCCAATTTTGTTATTCTGTATTCTGAAAATTCAACAAAGGTAGCTCTTAGCAATAGCACAGACTTATATACCAGTTCACTGTGCTTTATAGCCCTCTCTAAGTGGTTTACAGAGTCAACAATCTCAGGCTTCATTTTACCAACCTCAGAAGGTTGGAAGGCAGAGTCAATCTTGAGCCAGTGAGGCTCGAATTGCCAAACTGCTGACAGTCAGCAGTCAGTAAAATTAACTTGCAATACTGCAATTTTTTATAAATTTTTTTATTGTTTTTCCAGTTTTACATTTAAGTATTTAGAAAGCAACGTGGTGATTGGGTAATCAATGGTTCAATAACAAAATCTTTAGTACTTATCTCAGATTACATCATCAAAAATTCCTTCTCTATTTCTCTTAACATTTGCTATATCATGTTTAAGCTAGTAAATTTCTAATTATATCAAACTCGGTTAAACATTTATCAATATATTTTTGCTTATGCATATCCATATCCTGTTTATAAGTTTTCACCTAATTTTTAATTGCAGTATTCCAATTTAATCTTTAATATCCATAGTATTTAAGTTTCGAGTAACCCAAATTTCCTTTATTTCACTACATAGAAATTATAATATCTAAAATACACATATTACTTACTTAAATATATTCTTATTTTATTTCTTAAACATTTTCTATTTCTCATCCTAATACGTCACCACTTATTAATGGAGTATCCTTTATTGTCTCAAGTCCATCCTCTATATTATTTGGGCTAATCAATAATTTAAAGCTATTTCCTAATAGTTAATTTTCATTTCCCTTATAAGTAACTCCTCAGTATTAAGCCAATTAATCCCTTATTTTTTATCATTTTCCAACAATATTTAAGTCTAGCAATCAAATTTCCCTTCATCTCAAAATCTCAACCAGGCAATACTGCATTTTAACCATTGCACCACCACAACTCCTCCCTTCGAACTGAAATGAGATTAAAGTAAAATGTAAAGAAATAATTAGAATTAATTGAATTAGAATTAATTGAAATAAAAAATGTTAAAAGTTTGAATTATAAAATTTAAACTGGATTAAGGAATATTTGGAATATTATTTATTTCAAAGTATTTGAATTTAATTAAACAAATATCTTCATGGGAAAGTAGACTGTTTAACTTTCTTAAGAGGGCTAATTGGTGGATTAGGAAAGAAAATGAGTGTCAACCAAGCAGATCTCAATTTTCCCATAGACTATACAAAGGATGATGTACAAATCTGAAAATAATATTTATTTACCAATACAATTTATATAACTGCCCATTTTACTGATATTATTGTGGCATCTGTAGTATCATTGACTGAATCTATTCAGAGATATTTTATTTTATTTGAAGAGAGAAGGGAAAAAGATTTACAAATACAGAATAAAAGAAAAGATAAATATAAATTTGGAGAATTTGCAATATAAATGAGCAAGACCGAAACAATAATTCAAGAAATGAAAAAAGATTTAGACAATGTGACATTACTGGATTTAAAAGGAAAAAGGATTTTGCCTGAGATGGAGAATAGCTATAGAGCTATCTAGTGAAGAAAGAAAGGATAGTGTAATTGAAGACCTAAAAAAATTTTCAGAATGAGAAAAAAACATGGATGTAGAAGTGAATAAGATACACAGAATTAATAGGGGGAAAAAATGAAAAGTTAAGACCTGTACTAAGAAATACATTGTAAATCTTATCAGGAAGAAGACAAAAAACCAGTTTCTAAAGAAACACCTTAACATTAAGCTAGGGCAGGGGTCAGCAACCTATGGCTCCAGAGCTGCATGTGGCTCTTTCATCCCTCTGCTGTGGCTCCCTGTCCTCCGTCACCGTGTGCGGTCCCACAAACAAAAGAATTTTGTGGGACTAAAAAAACCTTCAATTAATCAATTCCAACTTCTTGCAGAAAAAAAAGCAGTGGCAGCGGGGCGCTCTGTGTGAGGGGGAAGCAGCAGCAGCAGTGCAGCGCTCCATTGGGGTGGTGGGAAGCAGTGGCAGCAAGGTGCTCCATGCGCGGGGGGGGAAGCAGCAGGCTTTTGTGGCTTCCAGTGTTTTCTTTTCTGTGGGAAACAGGTCTAAATGGCTCTTTGAATGTTTAACGTTGCCGACCCCTGAGCTATGGTATCAGAATAAGAGAAAAGAATTTTGATCAGGGATAATAAATCTTTTATAACACATCAGAAACCTTTTGTGAAGTTTTTTGCTGAAAATGAACAGAAATGATTTGATGATTTTTGGATTTGCCTATTGAAAAGGATTAACTATGGGAAGAAGCCACAATGTAATGTAATCATAGAGGATGGAATAATACTAAGTTTGTTTGTAACTGTGCTGAAGATCAAAAGTCATTTTAAAAATATCTTTCCTTTGCCCTTTTAAAATTTTTCTGCACTTTCTCTCTTTTCTTTCTTAATCTCATTTTCTGTATTTTTTCATATTTTTCTTGTGTAAAAATGTCTACATAAATTTGCCCAATTTCCCCCAAAATTCAGTTTTTCATTTATCACCATTTCCTGGAGTGCATTAATGCACAAGATCTAACTACCTTCAGATTTCTTATATCATTTTTTTTGCTTAATTTCAGAAATTTCTGTTTATTAATTCATGCTATTCACATTTACTCCTCTTACACAGTAATAGTCTTTCATATGCTCTGATCATCAAGAAGCATAGATAATGATCACTGATGTTGCTGTGGTTAGTATGATACTTTTAATGAGATAAAAAATAGACTAGGTCACTAATTGAGTCAGTATTTAGATGTCAATTGAGTGAATATTTAGACCAGAATGTCAATGAACACCTACTTATCACACTATTGTACACAAGTTAGGATTTCTAAACTAGAGATGATCTTGCAAGCTAGCATATTGTTGCTTGCATCTTTTCAACAAGGAAATATATGGAAAACTAATATACATTTGGAGACTGCTGAATCATATGTAGAAATAATTTCATTAATGTTTTAGTGTACTGTATATTCATCCCTACAACTTTCTGACATAGGTCAAGCAGAAAGCAATCTACGTAAAGGCACACAGTGAGGTTTTGGATATGGAAGGGATTTCAATTCACCTATCTATATATGCCAGCCAATCTCATGGAATCAGGGTCATATGAAACACCTCTTTTTTTCTATTTTAGGGCCAAATTGCTTTGCTGAAACCATGGTTATTCCAGCAGGTCGAGAAGTGAAGACAGATGAATGTACTATATGCCACTGTACTTACGAAGAAATTACTTGGAGAATTGAACGACAAGCTATGTGTACCAGACACGAATGCAAGCAAATTCAGATCTATTAATCTAGGGACTCAGGATACTTTTATAAAATATTTAAATCCACCAGATGATTTGGTAAAAAGCAGTCAACTTCAAAGAACATTTTGTTGAAGATTAAGTAGGCAGCAAATATTTTGTTTTTGACAGGAAAAAATATATGTCAACATTTGCACTTAAAATAGCTATGTCATTGTGTTATATTTCCAAGTGAGTACTTTACAATAGACTCACAGATTATATTATTTCTATAGTTCCATTAGTTTAAATTTAATGTTTTATATAGATGCTAATTAAAGTAACATTAATGGTTGACTGTCTTCTTGCATATCTGACCATGCATAAAATAATGTTTGTTATATTATATAGATTATTTTTATGAAGAAATAACAATAGGCTTAGAAAAGGTAAAAAATAGATAATATTATAACCACTTAAATTTGCAAAGAGTTGTTATTGACTTTAGTAATTTTAATTTGCACAGAAATATGCACACAACATGTGCCAATATTTCTTTACTGTTGACATACACTGGCATGAATATACAGTAATCTGAGAGTAAGTGGGCTACTTCATAATCTGCTGCATAATTTTTATATTCTGTTATAAGAAAATTAGTCTCCCATCAGTAGGCTGGAAATATAAGTTGTGAATTTTCTGTGGTTGAGCATTTAATGCATATGAATAAATCATATAATTTATGTTTATTCTATTTTAACTTAGTTGAAATTACTTTTCCTGATAGGCAAATAATATCTGACAAAACATTGTAAAGTACATAACACATTGCATTCCTACTAATATATAATAGTGATAACAATAGCACTTAGACTTATATACTGCTTCACAGTGTTTTACAGAACTCTTTAAGTGGTTTACAGAGTCAGCATATTGCCCCCAACAATCTGGGCCTTCATTTTATTGACCTCGGAAGGATGGAAGGCTGAGTCAACCTTGAGCCAGTGAGAATCAAACTGCTGAACTGCTGGCAGCCAACAGTCAGCAGAATTATCCTACAATACTGCATTCTAACCACTGCGCCACCATGGCTCTTTATAATTTATTTGTGAAAAGACAGATTGTCAATCATGTTCAAGCCAAGTGCTTTCATGACATCATTTTCAAGAATCCAAGACACAGAACAAAAAAAATTACAGTTCTTATGTTAGAAAATTACTAAATGCTAGGAAATCCTGGCAACTCTTGCTGTAAAAAAATGGCCTTTTTAAAATAAATCCCAATTAAGAAGAATTTTTAAGCATTTAATTAATTTAGGCATTTTTTCCAAATATCTCAAAATAATTTACTGTTATTAAAAAACAGTTAAACTTTTAAAGATTAGTATTTCTTTTCAATTTAAAGGCTAAAGAATTGATATAATTCTAGTGAGAAATAGCATTTTTCAAATATACCTCAGCTCTTGACAAAGAAGTGGAAAAGATTTTTTTTGTTTGCTTATTAATTAGCTTCCTCATAATTGTTAGTTTCATAAATAAATTTACATTCATCATTTTGAATATTTTTGAAAATACTAAGTTGTTTATTTTTATTTTTATGATGAAAGAATGATAAAATTTTTGAAACATCTTACAAATTCCAACACTGTGTTAAAAGAATGCAATAATAGCAACAGATAATTTTTATATTACCTTCCTGAGGGGAGAATCATCTTAAATTCAACATTTTCTTCCTCTTAAGTAAATATAAGATTATTGGCATAGTCAATTTACAGGATTTGGTCATTTTCACTAGAAGACACAACTAATATAATATTGATCCAATATCAACTCCCTTATATAATAATAACAGAATATCAGAGTTATTCTTGGACCTTGGAGGTCTTCTAGTCCACCCCCTGCTCAAGAAAGAGACCCTATACCAGGGGTAGGCAACCTTGGCTTTTTTATGACTCGTAGACTTCAACTCCCAGAATTCTTGAGCCAGCATTCCAGACATGGGGCTATCCAGTCTTTTCTTAATTAAAAACTTCCAATGATAGACCACCCACAAATTCTAAAGGCAGCCTATTTCGTTGGTTAACTGTTCTCACTGTTAAGAAATTTCTTCTTAGTTCTGGATTGCTTCTCTCCTTGATTAGTTTCCATACATTGTTTCTTGTCTTTCCTTCTGGTGCTTTGGAAAATAGGTTGACCCTTTCTTCTTTGTGGCAGCCCTCAAATATTAGAACACTGCTTTCATGTCACCCCTAGTCCTTTTTGCTGGACTAGAAATACCCAATTCCTGCAACTGTTCTTCATATGTTTTAGCCTCCAGTCCCCTAATCATCTTTGTTGCTCTTACCTGCACTCTTTCCAGAGTCTCAACATCTTTTTTATAATATGGTGACCAAAACTGAATGCAGTATTCCAAGTGTGAATACTAAGGCTTTATAAAGTAGTACTAATAGTTCACGTCATCTTGATTTACTCTATTAATGCAGGATTGTATTGGCTTTTTTGGCTGCCGCCACATAGTGCTGGTTCATATTTAAGTGATTGCCCACTAGCACTCCAAGATCCCTCTCACAGTTACTGGTATTAAGCCAGGTTTCATCTAATCTGCACTTGCACATTTGTTTTTTCTTGCCTAAGTGTAAAGCCTTTTCTCTACATTGTATTTTATTTTGTTAGATACAGCCCAATATTCAAGTCTGTCAAGATCCATCTGGATATTATCTTCTAGAGTGTGGCTATTCCTACCAGTTTAATGTCATTTGCAAATTTGATGAGTTTAGAAGATAAATAGATAGATAGATAGATAGATAGATAGATAGATAGATAGATAGATAGATCAATTCTGTTTATCTTTTAAGTAAACTTTTTAGATGACAACTTACAAAACAGAAGAAAATGAGGCATTGCTTCACCCTTCTCTTCTGATTTTTCACTTCCCTGATGAAGAAAAAATATTAATAAGTATCTGTGATAGACTAAGCATTGCCCAGTCAACTGCATTACTACTGCAGATGTGGACAAAATCCATTTTAATATTCATCCATTAAAAAAAACCCCTCTGCTAAAATCTAGCAAAATTGACATCTTGACCTAGAACTTATATTTTGAGAGGAGAGATTTTCTCAGCTTACTTCTGCTAGTATACCCTGAATAATGCCTGATTCCTATGGATTTCAGAGTCTGTTTGGCACCTTTTCTAACCAGGAGCCAAGGAGCACTTAGTTGAGCTCTTTTCACACATTTACAGAGGTTCTCCTTACCCAAGCAGAGTTTTGCTCTGCTCTTTGAATGCTTTCTTGACTTCAAGTTATACCTTCCCTCATCTCTGGTTCCAGAGAAGTCCAACTTTGCTTCTACTATAGTTCTGCACAAGCTTTCTGCTTCTGAAAACTAGCTTACCAAAATCATTTGTTTGGTTCCAGTGTCCAACTTGCTTAATCTTTCAACAGCATTTCTTTCTTTCTCTTTTTTGTCCTCTTCTAGATTAATTACTTAGGTGATACTTTCATATATCACCTTCCCTTTCTCTTTTTTTGTCTCCAGACAAATCAGGGTTTTCCCCCCCCCCCTATGAGGAAGGTGGGGCTGAGAAGAACTTGCTGGGTATCTCCAAGCAAGTTTCTTCTTCCCATTCCCTCATCTCAAGGATTGTGTTTTATAGTTGATATGTACTTTCCTGCCCATCTGCTGAAATATGGAATAAGGATAGGCTGCCTAGTTCAATATTGGACAGAAAAGCACTACTGTGTCGTGCCTATCTGAGGGAATGGGAGGCTGTCTATTCATTAGAGACTTTATAACATGAATGTTCTCTAAGATTACTACATTGCAATCTGTCTGAAAACAATCCTTTTGTGCCTAGAACAAAGATTTCAGGAAAGTATACTGTACTGTATATTGATGAAGGCTTTCACGGTTATGAGCTTCCAAGCTAAGAGCCACAGTCTAATTTTTGGATATTCTGATGTTTCACCAGCAACTATGACTGGCATCTTCAAAGGTGAAAATTGTTTGCTTTATAGTGTGCTGCTTGGTAGTTCAAAGGCCTCTTAGTACCTATGCTCATCACCATTATATTCAAGGAAGGTTGGAGCTGTCATGCCACGATATGTTACTCTCACAGACTGAATCTCAAAGTTAAGCATACATTTGCTTTTTACTGCTAACTTTTTAGATGGAACAACATCATAATACAGATACTAAATGCAATTTCATTATTAATATCTTCATATAAATCTACATATCTACATATAAATATCAGGAATTGCTCTGGATCTCAAACCTCATTAATAAACTAGAAGAATAAACTTAAAGAAATCATTAAGAAAGAATGTGAAGAAGAGACTGCCAAAAATAGGGGAGGGGGGGGAACTAAAGGAAAGCAAACTGTATGTCAAAACAAACTGTGGATATTGCCAAGAAGAGGAAAAAAAAGCCAAAGGCAGGAAAGACAAAATCTCAGAAAGGAACTTAAGAGTTCCTTAAGAGTTTCAGGGCTGTTAGAAGTGACAAAAGTAGAATTAGAGCAATATCTGCAAATACACTGAGATAGAAAAGCACAAAGAAACCTTTTCAAAGGATTTCTGAAGTCAAAATGAAGATCCAATCATGGGCTACCATGCTAAATGACACTAGTGGAAAGATTTGTGGGGGGTATTCATAACAATTTAGCATTGCTGGAAAATTGATCAAAAATATGAAAACTGCAATTCAGTCTTTTTAAACGTAAGATCATGCACTTAAGGAAAAAGAAACATCTGTCAGAATACAGTATTGGGACTACAGGTTTAGACAGTACAACAGAAAAAAAGGATTTAGGTAAACACTCACAGCAGATAAATGCAAAGTGAGAAAATAGTGTGGCCAGGCAGCTATGAAAAACAAACAAAATTCTGGGATGAATCACTAGAGGGATAACCAGCAAGAAAAAGGAGATCCTAATCCTGCTCTATAGGGCTTCAGTCAGATTCCATTTGGAATATTGTATCCAATTCTGGAGACCTCACTTAAAAAAAGATATTGATAAGATTGAGTGAGTCCTGAGATGGGCAACCAAAATAGTGGAAAATCTGACAGACAAAACATCAGGTCAGAGGAACTGAATATGTGCAGGACACAGAAGGGAAAGGGTAACATGACTGAAAACTTTAAATATATTAAGAGTGTGAATAAGATTTTAGAAGGTAGTATTTTCAATATTAAGCGAAAGTCAAGAACATGAGGGCATAACTTCAAACTGACAGATGGGAAATTCAAAAGCAATGTTAGAACTATTAAATCAAGAAAGAGTAGTGGAAATTTGGAACCAACTTCCAATGGAGATAGTGAGTTAATCATCAGTAGCTTGAGTTTAAACATGCTTAGGATAAACACATGTCCATCTTCTGACAATTTTTAAAAAGAACATGTGAAGGACAGTGAAAAAGATATACTGAAGTCAATATACCAACAAAGTTTACTGAATACTGGAGAGACAAAATGGCCTACAAGAAGGACTAAATGAAGAGCAGAAAAGAGGCATGGGGAAGGTAAATTATTACATAGCCACATATTTAAAAAATAACAGGTGAAGCAAATACTAACAAGACCTGGCAATATCTAAGCAGGAAAGTTGAAGACAGAGACAGAAGGGTTAATTCTGGCTATACAAAACCAAACCTTAAGAATAAATGCATGCAAAGCTAGCATTCAGAAGACAGCAACAGATA